TATATTTCAAATCTTGCTTGTAATTCAGTTGGAAAATACGAATTGTCACCGATTGCGAATATCCAAAGCGAACATTTACCAACACACACGGAACGGGAGAAGTGTCCAGTTGGGATTTAGTCGATGAGGGTGGATCCATTACTCTGGTAGCGTTCAATTTGATGTCGAAGTTGATGTCGGACAAGCTGAAAAAGGGCAAAGTAATGACTCTTGCCGAGAAGCATGGTCTCATAGTAATATACAGGCGTTTTGAATTCACTATGTATCTATCCGATCGGCTTCAGATGCATATAAAACATTGTCGCATCGGTTTCAATTAGTTTGTACAAATGGAACGCGTGCACAAGAGATTAGTTGGGCGTTAGATCGTCAAGTGATGTATGATTTCACTCATCTCAATCAAGCGCAATGCTTTACCATTGAACTCAATCAATCATCGGTAATCTTTTGTAGACTCAACGAAAACCTGAGTTGTTTTGCTTGTATATGAAAAATATAATTTATTGCTGTAAACATTTTGCCTACGAAAGGAGGAAAATTATATCTGCTTGAAATGAGATGTTCAGTAGCTCTGTGCGTTGTTCTGATCAAACTTTATAAGTGAAAGTTCTAACATCAGCATAATAAGGTGATGTCTTCTTTTCTCGAAATGACTTATTTTTTAGGATTTTCGATACTTCGGAAAAACTTCTGTTCAGACTGGTGTTGGAGAGTTTACTGTCAATACAAAGCAGGCGATGGTTTACTATGCATATTTTCAACAGTTTCATAATCAGTTGTTATGTTCTACCCGAGTTAAGATTGTAGATTCTTAAACAAATGTTTATTATAAAAGAAAAGTGAACATAACAGAAAAACATAACATCATACCTACTGCAGAGCACACGCACATATATATATTTATATACTATCTATGTTATATGTTCTGAAATATCGCATCATATTAGAATATTCCAGAATGTTATAATGTCTTCTTAGATTATGACCAAACATCAATAGTACTTTTTTTGTACCGTAACTTTACTATAATACCGATTGGTGTGCAGGAAGCGCAGAAATGTCGTAGTTTGCCTGGATAGAACACAAAAACCAAACACTATGAATGCTGATAGTAAATACATAGACCTATTGAGATATGTATATGGCACGTTTTTGAATTAACTTAATCATTACTAATAAGGACATCATTAAGAATATGAAAGAGTGTTGGAAAAGTGTTCTTTTAGGTCTTTTTAAAAAGATACTTTATGACTTGTCATATCTGATACATGCTCAAACTACATGCTGCAACTTTTGAACGTTTGCCTAAAACTTTTCCAAGATGACAGACTTAAGGAGGGCTCCACTCTAATATAACAAAAATGTATCTGTCATTGACTATTTATATAAGAAGACAAACTCACAGTGGGTATTTTTTGCTAGAACAGGTGGACGTGTGGTCTGAAAGCAATCCAAACCTCTATAAAAAAATTTCCTTAAAGGTTTTTGGGTGTGCTATTTCTAAAAAAGTGGTTTTCAAAGTTAAAAGATGATTTTTAAGGAATTTTCTGGAGATCCCGTCTCTGGAAACCCTCTTAAAAACGGTTTTGGAACTTTGTACAGCTTCTTTTAGAATTAGCGTACACGAAAGTCTACAGGAAAACTTTTTATAGTCCTCTCGGCTGCTGTTAAAATACATTTTTTAAGCCAATTAAAAATTTTCATCGCTACGACTTTTCACAGGCAGGATTTGGACAAAATTCAAATATATCGGCAGAAAACTTTTGACTCATACATCATTCGATTCAGTTTTTCCCGCTGATTCCGAATTTCACATTATTTCTTGAATAAAAATGGTTTTTGAGTGTGAAAAGGCCAGTTTACCTAAAAATCCGAGAGGTTTTGAAAAATCTGTCTAGGGCTCCAGTTAAAGTTAGGCGACTAAAGGCTAATACCATAAATGAATGAGAGCTCATTTTGGTAAAAGATGAAGTTTCTATGAGCTTGGAAAACTCTCTGTACTAAGCAAACCTTTTGGGAAAAGTGCTTTTCTCAGAAAAACGTTTAAATTATTTTAGTTCGAATGCGGAAGGAAAATATTTTTTATAGCAGTAGATAGCCCGAATTCTGCTGATTCCGAATATGTCCTTAGGTTGAGATTAAAACTAAATCTACGCTGAGAAAATTGACTTTTTTCAAATAGTTAGCAAATTATAGAGAGAATTTTTCATCTAACTTTTTTCCACGAAGAAACGACTTCAGACAAAAAGATTTTTTGCCATTAGACATCCCATTAGTTGAAGTATATACGACGATCTTCAAATCAAGAAAAAGAAAACCTTTTTGACCAAATTTCCGCCTGGATGCCTGCCCACTGTGAACTGGTATTTCATAGTAAGATAAGTTTTTTCTAATCTAATACCTTTCGAAGTTATCAGGAGAGTAGGAAAAAACCGACATACACTTACTTATTATGAATTAACTAAACTGTTTGCTTTCTTATCATGTTTTCGTGACAAATTTATCTATGGGATACTTCAAAATAAGCAAACATATGTCAGTTTTATCCTGTTCTCATGATAACTAAAAAGCTCATTTTCTTCTGATTTATAACTACGTGTTTAATTATATAAATAGCCCTTGTCACATATCTTCTTATTTTACGCTCAAAAATGTTTTACCGTTTGGTATTTCTATTGTGCTTATTCGCAGTCGGTGCTAATTGTCAATCAACGTCACGATGTGAAACATTAATGGATTTGATTATCATTCTTGATTCATCTGGAAGTATTGGTACAACTGCTTTTCAACAGGCAAAGAATGCCACGGCTGAACTTGTTGGAAAATTGAACGTTGGTCCAAGAAAAGTTCACGTTACCGTTATTAATTATTCATCGACAATTGAGATACCCGTTGTATTCAAAGATGTTTTAGTCACAGGTTTTACAATTCAGCGAATGATACAAACAATTCAAGCTATCAAGTATTTAAATTCTGGTACTAATACGGGCGATGCATTAAGACAAGCTTGGCAAACATGCGATCAAATATTTCGTCACGACATTTGGCTACTGTTACAAAAGTAAATGTATTTGCTGTTGGTATAGGCGATGCAATGGCTGGCAGTGCTGAATTAAAGTTAATTGCATCTCATCCGTGGTATGTATTAAATTTACAAAATTATTTACAACTGACGCAAGTCATCAATAATATAACAATGATAGCTTGTGATTTACCTGTGTTTGTGAGAGCGAATGAAAAAATTGAAAGTGAAGTAAGTGCCAATACGTATCGTTACTATCAAATGGAAATAAATGATTTCATGCGTGACTTGAAAGGTCAAGGCGGATACATTGAAATTGTGACGAATATCAGGCAAGGTCAAGTGTCAGTATCTACATCGACAACGAATACAAATCCGAAATTAGGAAATGGAAAACAACTAAACAGTCGACAACAGGCGGGCAATCGTTATGTACAAACCTACTTTGAATATATTATCTATAACTTATATACGTCATATCGTAAAACTTATGTGATGAAACAAGAAATCACGATTTTTATCATTTAATTACGGAAAGAGCTAACAAAAATCTTCTGCTGCATACAATATTTGTATTATGGAATCTCGATATGCATCTCATCTGATAGAAAAATCTTCGGGTTGTTCAAAACTGTATTGAGATTTGTTTCAACTATTACTCGGAAATAAAAACTCAAAAACAAAGAGGTTATGAAACGTGTGTACTGCATAAATCTTAGATCTTATCCAACAAAGCTTTCGGAATGTTTACCATGAACGTTGATATTAAGAGCCAGTTATGCATAGACTTAGTAGACATTTTTAGCACAATTTTTCACAAATAAAGAGGAAAATTCGCTGCATAAAACTTAAGTTTTGAGATACGCACACCGGTTTACAAACTGACTCTTAATATCGACTATAGTCAGTCAGTTTGTTTACTCTTCTGCTTCTCTGCAAAAATTGGTGTTTATGTTTATTTATTTTTATAGTACTACCGATGAAGATTTAGCACAATTGGATGTAATGCTACAAGAGCATAGTGTAGGAGTAGTGTCTTCACAGACTGGTAGTAACGATCGAGCTCCGTCTCCTGTTAGGAGTGAAAGTTTAATTTTCGGCACATCAGTTACGCCTAAAAGACATCGTGGATTGTATAATGAACTTGAAAATGGAGAAGTCGATGATAATGAGTATTCTGTACCAGGTGTGTAATATTTACATCGCTAGAGAGTGACATTTTATCTATTTTACTGAAGGCGTAATAATGAAAAATAATTTTCCATTGGTTTATACGTTGCCAAAAGTTGATCCATCCTTCGAAACAGCAGCTGCCACTCCGGCATTGAGAGATTTCGGTCCTCGGTGTTCGAAACGTATTTATTTGATCAAGATTATTCATGATGATATCATTAACACCTACGGGCCAGATTTTTATCCGTCTGGAGTTCAATTCGACAGAATCGGTAAATCGGTTTACGACAAATATCCATCATTATCAAATATTTTTGGCTGAGATATGGTGAGACCTGAAACTTTAAGATCTTCATTCGTTATTTCTTTTATGCTTTGATAAGTCACAAGTTAGAAATAATAAATGCCCGTTCTTGCTGTCATAGATAGATTGCTCCAGTTTTCTTCAGAAAATGTGTGTAATCGAGCTTAGAACGTCTTAATACAAAAATGTTCCGATAATTTGCCATAGCACAATTCTGGGGATTGACTTAGTATTTTCATTTTGAGATCCACATTCAACTGTTGATTCATTTAATATATCAACGGAGCTAAACCATTTACTTTCTAAAAAAATAATCTTTTCATTGGATTTTTGGATCATCATTTCTAAGTTGAGATCGTTCAAATTCAAAGTACCGAAAAACTGAGGCAAAGGATCTAAAACATTTCGATTTTAGGGAGTAACAATTACTCTACAACATATGTAAGAAACAGCTTGCAAATCTGAGATATCCCACTGTTGTTTCTGAATCATATTTTCATACACGTACTGTTAAGATATTTTACGTGGTTTTTTAGAGTTTATTTAGTATTTCATTGAAACAAATGTTTAGTCGTGAACGACGCAATTGTCTTTCTCCAAGTACATTGATTGAAAAGAAAAGAGAGGCTTATGGTCATTCGAACGCTGGTCGTCCTCTGAGAGTTATGAAATTGGAAAGAACTGGACGAAAGGTGATAATATGATTATTATTTTCATAGGAATACTTTTTTGCTTATCTTTATTTTTCTTATATTTCGAATTTAAGCGTTTTTACGCCGGAATTCATCGTCTATCGATTTGAATGTAGTCGTAGAATTTCGGATGATTAACGTTTTTTATTTTATTTTCCATCCAATTTTTGCTTATCATTTCATGATTTTCAACTGAAAACACATATTTCGGTTTTTATTATTATACAGCATACTTTATCAGATAAATATTGTTCTGCTGCTCTTATTTTGCATTACATTCGATTCTTTGTGCTCTCTCCTGTTCTCTTTTTCAGGACCGACTGCTGCATTAAATAATGCATGTTTCTGTTTTTCCTTTATAACATTTTTTTTAAATATGTTTTTATTAAAATCCGTTTTTAGCCGTATTTAAATGATGAAAATGAACAACCATTGGAAGATCTATTGAACATTGATAACATATAATGGAGATGCAACAAATGATAAAAACAAATTACGATATGTCAGAGTTCAAGGCCAAGTTTGATCTTACATTTCCACATCGTCGTCAATTGATCAAGAAAATGATTTAAGTCCAAGCTTAGTTGAAAACTATCCTGGTTTAACCGTTCTCAATCTTGTAAGTTATTACTCGAGCATTAGTCAGTAACATAGCCTAAGCAGGATTTGCTCTTCACATTACATGTAATTAGTCGTTTCATCACCTTACCAATTTAAAATATTGCCGATGATGGGCTTTTGGTGAAGTGATGATACACTACATAAAAAAGTGTCTGCGCAAATGACGATGCCTACCTCATATAATAGAGTTTTGTGAGCTGAGCCGATTATTGAAGCTTACGGGTCTCTAATTTTGTACGAAAAAAGGTTATAGACATTTAACTCTACTAGCTGAAAGATGCATTTTTCGTTATCGAAATACACTACTTAATGTAGAATGTTGACCTTAGTCACAAAAAAAGGAGCAAGCTATCGAATGATGATAGGTGCCCTGTAAACTGAGGGTATCTTACCCTCCCATTTATCTGAATATCCTTTATGAATTTTCTCTTTCTCAAACCTTTTCTACAAGGTTCTGTTGAATATCTTTCATATGTTACTTAATTTAATAAAACTCTGCGTTTTCTGACTTTCTTTCGTAGTTAAGGAGAGATGCTAATCGTTTAACGTCTCCTTATTATGATGATATTATTAAGTCAGTTGAATTACGGTTTCGACAATTAGGTCAGTCAATTGGTGGAAAGCTCAGTGTCAGTTTAGGCAAAGAAAATATTGGTGATGGTGAGATTACTGGCAAGTGCTCCTCCTAAAATTTTATGAAACGTTTTAAATTTAATTTTACTCTATAGATGAATTACCATTAGCTACAGGTGAATTTATGTTACTTAGATTTAAAGAGCCGAAAAGGCTATTATTTAACAATGTATGTGTATGTTGAACACACTTCTATAAAATACTCCGCTCCTCTTTTTGATTTCTATGTATAGAACCCTTTGACACCCTTTCCAACAATATCATCGGAAATTATTAATAATAATCGTAGTTACGTTATTATTACCGAAACAGTGAAATTAATTACGACGACGAGTCAATGTATTGCTGTGGCAGCTTTAATGGCTGTATATGAAATTTTCAATATCAGTTATCCGAATAATACGAAGATGACTCTTCAAACAGTCAATGGTGTTCTATTTAAATCAAGAGATTTTAATTTGTCACTTGGTTCTCAACGTTTTCTAGAATCAGTAAGTTTAGAGAAGTTAAAATATCTGTTAAGTGAGCACGAGATAAGGTTAGAGTAAGATCTAAATAATA